TTTAACGGCGGTTCCCACGCCGCTCGCCTTTCCTTCTTTTCCCCCATCGCCCGTACCGTTGGGACGTCCCCCATCGCCTGAAGGTGTCCCAGTCACACCTTCGCTGGTCACCTTCCTCGCTACTTCCGCAGCCTCCTTGGCTGCTTCGTCCGCTGCCTTCGCCGCAGCCGCTGCGATCACTTTGGCCTCTTCGGCGCGCCTTGCCTTCGCCTTCACCTCTTCGGCCGCTCTTGCCTTCTTGGCGGCCTCCTCCCGTGCCAAGTGCTGCTCCGGCAGCTTTTGCACACCTTCGGCGCCCACTGTTTTGCATGGCGCTCTTCACCAAGTCGGCAGCCGCTTGCTCCTCCAGCTGTCCAAGCCGTTCGCGCTTCACGGCCGCCTTGGCCTCCCAGTCGGCCTTGCGCTGTGCCACTTCGGCCGCGTCCTCGCTCGGCGCCACTCCGCCGTCGTTATCTGACTCGGCTGTGAGGTCCACCACCTCCACTTGCTGCGCCGGCGCTTCGGCCTCTTCGACGCTGTCGTCGGCATCCTCGGCGATCTCGTTCGCCTTGCGCTTCTTGCCTTCGTCTGCCTTCTCAATCTCAATTGTCACGTCGCAGTTCCCTCTCATTTTGACCACGTGATGGTGGCAATTTCTGTCTTAAGTAGGGGAGGGTGTAACAGAGCCCATCGTCCGGTTAGTAACCGGATGACTAGTCGACACCTCTTCAGTCCAAGGTGTCTCTTCGCACACCAACAAGTCCTCTTGCGCAACCAAGGTGTTCCCCCAACGATACATCAATGGTTGGTTGCGCGTAGCTTAGTGATAGCGTAGTAGTCTTAACGCTATCAATTCATTCTTGATTCTACCATCTCATGCAACTTCCTCTACGCACGCTCACAGTTCGTTTACGCGTTGGATCCGTTGGAACGGGAAAGCATATTTGCACGTGGTTTTTAGTATAGTTACAGGTGATGTAACTTGGCGTTACATAAATGGTGTGTACTGTATACGCGTGGAGGAGCATTTGCGGGTGATGGAGGATTCACCATGGATATATTGATCACAAATGTTGACTGTCGAATAATCTGAGCAGTTCGGTGGGAAATATTCGGTATGTCATCTCCACAGTATGTCTTTTCCATACATGCCACGTTCACCGCGACTCAACTGTGGAACGTTAGTATGAATGAATAGGCAGTTCAACCACATTTCAACTAACACACACACAAACTACTATATCTCGGCGATTCCTTGGCTAAAACCACTCATTCTTAGACTGGTGTCACTGCTGAGGGATGCCGTTAGACGTGGTACCAGTTGTTTTGTCTCCCGATTCTTCTTGGCTTTCGGCCACGGGACCTTCGTCAAGGTAGCAAATATAACACTGCTATTAGTGAGGTTAAACACGCCACCAGGCCCCTACGGACTACCATTCACTAAAGTACTCATTACATCCACTAAGGTATCGGAACCTTTGACACGCCACACACACAGTGTGTGTGTGCTTGCAATGGGTCAAACTAACGCGCGACCCAATTGCTCTGCACGCTGCAGAACACTTCCCCTCCTACGGAAAGTCCAGTGTCTTGATGAGGGCGGCCACGGCAGGGTCTTCCTTGTTGACCGCCGCCCACTTGAGAAATACGACTGGAATGTCGACCAGCAAATTCGACGCAGGTTCCCAGGACGATTCATCATCATCCAGTCCGAGCCACTTCACTAAAACTTGGTGTTCGTCATCCACGTAGTGCGCTTCGTCCAGGCGCTCCACATGAATTCCGCCATCGCCAAACGCGATCTGAGCCTCGAGGTCTTCGGTCACCTGTCTACCACCTTAGTGGTACATCTTCAATCGGCACGCATGATGGATGGACCGTGACTTCGTACGGTGGCACCAGCTTCTGAATCCCCATCACATGGTCCGTGATGACTCTGGTCACTTGGCAGGGTCCGCGCCAATGCAGGGCCAATTTTGTCGGACGGTTGACGACGAGCACAAAATCGCCGACCGAAATACCCGCAAACTTGACTTGGTATTTTCGGTCGCGGCGTCCACGCGCTTGCTGCCGCAACTTGTCGCATCGCATCGCCCCGTTGCGGTGCATTTCTTCAAGCGCCACTTGGAGGTCTGTCACATGTTCCTGACGGGCGGCGCCAAGCCAGTACGCGACGTAAACTTCCTTACGTCGGGTGGACAAATCCTTCCAGCGGGGTCTGGGCTGGCAGGCCGGTAAAAGCTGTCACAGGCGCAATTCGTCCCAGCCGGTCCTCCGGCTGATAGTTTAGGGCGCCTTGAACGAGGGGCAACACATGCAGCAATTCGTCCGCGTTCAGCTTCATTTCGCTGAGCAGCGCCTTCACGGCGCGCAGCACTAGTCGGTTGACTACTTCTACAGTCCCGTTCGCCCAAGGACTATAGGCTGTCGTGATATGATGGTGGGAACCCACCAACTTCCGCACCTTCTCGATCACTTCGTTCTTGAAGTGAGAACCGCCATCTGACACCCATGTGTCAACGCAGTCGAATGTGGTAAACCACGTCATGAGGCACTGAGCGGTCGCGGCGGCGTCAGCGGACTCTGACGCGAACAGCTGCACAAAGCCACTCATGTTGTCCTTCACGACAAGCACTTGGTTTTGGCCAGACTTGGCCACGGGCATCGACAACCAGTCGAAACGGATGAGCTGTTCGGCTTCTCCACGTGAAGCGCCGAACCCAATGGACGGGGAACCATCTCTCGTCAATGCACAGGCAGTGCAAACAGGCGCACACGACGCTTCGACGTCCGTGGAAAGTGTCTTCCATACAAACTTGTTGGACACCGACTTGGTCGTCGCTGCAATGCGACGGTGACCGCTGGCTCCTTGGTAAGCGATCACACAAATCCGCTGCTGTAGGTCCGCAGCATCGTCTGGGATCCAGATTCGTCCGTCTAGGTCCACGTGAAAATGGGAGTCTTCGTCCCAATCCACGCCGTTTGGGGGGGTCCCTCCCCCTTCCATGGTTGAACGTTGGATGTCGCTGATCGTAGCGGCTGTTGGCTACTCGAAATCCACTTGTTGCAGGGGCGACACCACATGGATCAACTTGCGAACATTCGCAACTGGTTGATCCGTCGGCGCCGAGCTCCACCGGCTCAGGAGGTCGCCCCAGACATTCGCGTCACCCGAGACGCACTCAATGGTGTACGGGAACGTCGCATCACCATTGAGTGAGATGGTCGGACGACCATCCCACGGCAGGGAGTGCAACACGCACTAACGCCGTCTTCTTGCAGCCTTGGTGGCCACGTCAAACAAACGTCGCAACGGATCCACCAACTGGTTGTAACGGGGATGCTCGCGCGCATCCAATTGGTGGCACACACAAACCGCTGTAGGTCAGCCGCGGTCGTCGGCGGCGACAAATCCTCGAGTCCTTGGATTCGGCTTGCGGAGGGCCGTCAGAATGACTTCGAGCGGCGGCGCTCCGCTTCGTCATCTCGGGAGGTTTTAGGATAAACTTCCGGAGTCGCACTCTCCATCCCGTCGTCGGGGTCAAGCTCCGGTGGATTCAACTTATCCGCCATCAGGCGCTTGACATTTTCCATGCCGGGCAATTCATTCGTCGGCACGGACGAAACGTCCCATTCTTCATTCTTCTTCCTTGCTCCGAGAAGGAGGTCTTCAACGCTGAAGCCCAGTAACTCCATGACTGGGCGACTCGCGATGAGTTCGGTCTCAGTCGACGCGTCGTCGACCCAGGCCTTCAGCCCGCGCAACACGAGCGGTCCACACGTCGTGTCCAGCGTCACGCAGTTGAACTTGACGCTGCGCGTCATCACAACTGTACCCGTATGGCGTCACTGCCATACGGGTACGCCAAATGCGGCACGCTATGAGAGACGGTCCCAACTTTGACACCGGCTGCGTCCAACGCATCCATCACGCCGCTCGTGACAACGGTCACGTCCGAACCAAAGTCCAAGAGCACATCGTCCACGCGGACGATATTCTCCAAGAGCACGCCGCGCTCTGTCTTCTGGCGCTCCGGCTGGTTGACCAGCACCTTGATGCCGTCCTTCCAGCGCTTGACTTGCGCTGCCAACAACGTTTCGGCTTCGCCAGGCGCGGTCATCGGGCACCGCGCCACACGGAGACTCATGTCACCGCACTTCAAGCAGCCCTACTTGGCAGGTGGCTCGGCGGTCTTGGGCACGATCGTTTCGGCCTTTCCGCCGACTCTGCCATTCTTCTTCGCGGCGTCTTCCCGGCCGCCTTCACGACTTGAAACTTGAGGCTTGCCGCCTCGTGGAGCTTCTACCGGCTTTACTGCCGGGGAAGGTTTAGCCTCGTCGTCGAGCCCGACGTACAGCTGGTGGCCAGCTGCAAAAGTCCGCAGCCAGTTGACGTAACGGAAGACGTCGCTCTTCAACGCCTTGTTCCGCTGTAACTGCAGCTTCTTTTGAACCGCCGTCTTCAGCGATTCCGGCTTGATCGACTTCGTCATGACTTCGACGACCGTCTTGCCTTCTTGATGGAGTACCCACTCCTGATGGTCTTGTTCCAACGAGCGCATCAGCTCGTCCAACATACGACCGACGCCAAACTCCGCGTCCAAGATCTTCGTATCGAAACGAATCGCTCACTGCAGACGTTGCTTCAAAACGTCCAGGTCTAGAGGGTCTTCCACAAACGCTGACTTTACCACGCGACCCACTCATCGTTCGTGATGGAATTGTTGTCGCGGTTGAAGTCAAACAGCGCGATCCGGCGCTTTGAAAACGGGTCCATGCAGGTATTCACGGGCATCGCGAACGGACGCGATCCATTGCACTGCAGATCGTTGATCTGTCCCAGATACTTCAGGTACTCGCGCTTAAAAGGGCGTCTTTCAGCCTTGGTCGATCCCGAAAACTTCGGCGGCTGCGGGACCGCCGGCGCGTTCCAAACTTGCGGCGCCGTACGGCCGTAACTGCCATCGCTGCCCATGTCCATATCGTCACGTCCGACAGGTCGTTGTCGGCTGGCACAGGCACTAAAGCGCCATTTGCTTCAGTCGTTGATGGAGCAGCAGCTGAGACAAACGCTGCGCTTGCTGGTGTTCTTCGGGTTGTGGCAGGGGCGTAAAACCCACCACGTGGCGGTTGCCACTCGTCGATAGCAGGAGGTGGCTGTCGTCGTCGGGGAGATCTGAACGGGTTCTCAACGGTGCGCCGAGCAGCGCATTCTCGCTGGTTCTTGACCCGGTCACGCGACCGCGATCGTTCTTCGGCGTTCGTTGGCGCTTCGTCGTCGGAGGCATGTTCGCGTACCATCTCCACTGAATAGCTCAACAATAAACTAAAAATATCTTTGTTTTGTCTACCATTCACTAAAGTACTCAGTACCTCCACTAAGGTATCGGAACCTTTGACACGCCACACACACAGAGTGTGTGTGTTTGCAATGGGTCAAACTAACGCGCGACCCAATTGCTCTGCACGCTGCAGAACACGCATTTTAAAATCATGTGAGCTTCACGCTTACTACTACTGTAGTAGTACTACGTACCAGTAGTTACTTAGGGTACAGTGCAAGCTGTTCGATTACTTGCGCGGCTATATGCAACTATTTTTGACTGGAAATTATACCACGTGCAAACCGTCCAAATTGGCGCACTCAGATTGAGACACGTGCAAATACACCACTTAAATTTAACCACGTGCATGAACGCCAAAAACAACGTGTAAAAATTCTACAGTACACCCCGTTGGCACATGGGGTGATTTCTGTAGTGCGATGACAGCTAAATTTGTGCAGCAGCAAATGTGCACAAAGTTTCAACCGAATTGCAACTAGCAGTAAAATATGTGAAATCGAACTTATGCTTGTACGTGTTTATTGGGGGAACCATTGACGATGCTGTTCACAACAATGTACACTGTTGCTGGCGATAAATGTACTGGTTTTAGAGGCATAACGAAGCGATTAAGGGGGTACGAAGGGAAGTGGTTACAGTCGCGGTTCATATCATAGCTGTACTATTAATAGTACAGTATGCAGCACTATATAATTTAGTACGCACTAGTAGCCAAAATATACCTGGTAACCCACACGTGGGTCGCGGCGCCCCGACCACATCAACAACCTCCAAGCAAGCCAGTCCTCCCACAGACTACGCAACGCCACATAGTACACTACCTACTGTACTCCCACACGCAGCCCTCAGCCACACGTCCTGCTCCGTCTACCATGCAGCCCACGCCCGCTCCTGCATCAGCACCTGACCCATGTTCCACACCAGCTACACCACTACCAACCCTGGCACCCCCCCACGTCACGCTCTGGACCAGTACATACATACCTTCCCCAAGCCAACTGCCTCAGCCTCAGTCATGACACACCACTCGACTCCCTACTCCCCACCCATTCATCGATCACCGACAACTCATCCCCCCGTTGGCTAGAAAAGCCCGACCACGCCAACCGATACATGCACACTGGGCATTCAACACCCGACAAAGAAGGAAAAAAAGGGTAAAAAATATATGATCAATAAAAAAATGATAATTAAAAATACAACTAAAAGAATTTGTATTAAATTCTTTATTTAAATCATAGCAATTATGGTGAGTTAATAAAATAAATAAAAAAATATCTAAATTTAAATAAAATAAATAGAAAGAAGAATTGATTTATTTATGCATTTTAATCGCAGTATTTTGACTCCTAGTAGTTGTAGTAGTCAGTGTTTGACCGAATATATGATTTTGATTAAAGTATGCTAGATCATATTGACCTATATTTTCATCTTGATTAAACTATGCAAGATTATCTTGACCTCGATTTTTATCTTGATTAAACTATGTGAACATTTAGGGTACGGAGAGACATAATATAGAATTCGAAAGGTGAAACAGTAGGTTTTAGTAGGCTCGCAAGGTGAGCCACCTTACGAATTCCATAAATCGATCTGAAATAAGTCAAATTTTATTGAATGAAGCTTCATCTTTCTATGGAATAATACAAAATTCGTTTAAACGTATCTTATTGATGAGTTCGTAAACCAGGCTGCCTTATATACCAAATTTCTGTCCAATTATATGATAGAACGTGAAAATAACTGGCCAATAGGATCGTTCGAGCAAAGAGGATCGTTCGATCCTCATTGCTACATTGCTAGCTACAGGCTGCGGCTATTTTATTGCGAGCAACAGTAGTAGAATTGCGATCCCTTGCTCCTACTCGCACGCTTCAGCCTGGGCGACGGTCATACCGGTACAGTACGACTTGGTTATCGCCTTGTCGCAGCAGAGTTTGAGGCCCGCCCCCTTGTTCTTGGCGTTGTGGGCGCTCCGGTGAAAGTTCCTGGGTTTCCTATTCCACGTGGACTACAGTACCAGTAGACCTCGACGAGAACTCAGTTACTCATGTTTACACTGTTAGTTGAAACTATTGCCCAAAGCCTAATATCTGGACAACTGCACGTCGCGGGCAAACGACTTGATTTGGTCAAACCTTCAGTGACTATGCCCCGATAATATGATTCTTACTGGCGGTACTTCTTCCTCACTTTGACTTGGAACCTTGGGTGTTGGCCCAGTCGACCTAAACCATGAAGTAGTAGTAATGCTGCTGGTCCTCTTAACGTGATATTCGCATCGACTACAGACTGTATTCGTCATTCAATGTCGACTTCATTAGGTAGAGTTTACAAAACAAGGACTAAGCACTATGGAAAAAAGTAATAGTGAGTGTACTCGAGAGTGTGATGAACTGCTGACATGAGCATTAAGGTGATGCTGGCAAGAGTTGTTTGAGTCGATGGGAGCTCGGCACTTTAGAAGTCGATAAAAATGATCGTTTATATGCCAAACAAACCATGATGCACTCTGATTGGTTACTAATCAGAAGTAAGGTCAGCCACCTTACGAATTCCACAAACAAGTCAATTAATCTCGTGGGCTGATAGTACTAGTGTAAATCCTAGTAATACCAGTAAAACATACTACTTCGAAGTTCGAAGTATAAAAGTACCGGGCTCTACTCGAAATTTCCATGTTGGATTGGTTGAATCGAACAGTGGGGCGGTTTCAGAACCGACCAAAACCTCTGGAATGGTGTAATTTATAGATATATAGATATTCGAACATCACCGATACACTAGTACCAGGACGTTCAAAGAAACATGGAGAGCAATTTGCTCATCGCCACTGTGTTATCCTCGGACTTGTAGACGCAGTGGTAAACTGTGTCGGCGCTCATGCTGCCGTGTCGCCGCGCCTTTCAGTTCCTGTTGTTGATTTTTCCCAGACTCAGGGAAATACTATTGATTGGCTAAATTATGGTATTTTTGGCGAATCAAATCGTGAGGTGGATTTATTGCCACTTCATGTATTAATAACAGCAAATTTCACCGAAATCCACAATACCCGTACAGTAAAGTAGGCACTATCATTATCGACCAGAATACATTAGCATGGCTTAAGAGCAGAGTTCACAAAGTCAATGTGTAGGTACATAATGTCGATTCCATTGGCTAAAATACACGTTCAAAGCAACCAATCAAACATCGTGACCATGAGTACACTTTCCGATGTTCGGACTTTGGCGAGCGTTCGTATGGTGGTAGTGTTTGATTGGTTGCTTTGAAAGGTGCAACGCATTTCAACCAATGAAATCGCGGGACACTTGACTGTCAACAACGGCAGAGGCGCAAACCTGATGGCACAATCACTTCTCGTATTTGGATGGCAATCGACACTTCCGCGTTGATGGACGTCGTCCGCGCCAATGCGCCAGTTCTCGCCGGAGCCATCTCTGGTGTGGCGACTGCAACCATCTCCAACCCTCTGGACGTTGCCAAGACACGCATTCAAGTGCAGGGTACGTCCTTCCACGACACACTCGCGCGTGGCATATTGACGACAGTTCTTAGGTGGAATCATGACCGAGGCCAAGTACACTGGAATCTTTCGATCCGTGCGCACCATTTACGTCGAAGAAGGGATCCGAGGCATGTATCGAGGGTATTCTGCCGCACTGTGCAGCTTTCCCGTGTACTGGTCGCTGTACTTTCCAACCTACGAGTTTGTCAAGGTACAACTGAGTAACACATCGTTGGATCAGGTATGACTGTGGTGTCGTTGAGACTGTCGTTCATCCCAATCGACCATGTAGTATCCAGTCGCTGTCCAAGGGTTGTCGGCCACCATCACAGGCACCGCCGTGGACGTCGTGACGTACCCTCTCTGGTTCCTTCGAACCCGCATGCACACGCAGCATTTGCATCAAATCACATCCGCATCGCACGCACGAGACGGCTATTCGAGTACTGAACAATGTTCTTTCTGACGTTTGACGTTGGAAACGTACCTAGCTCTCCGCAGCACGGTCGGTACCATTTTCCAGCGTGAAGGGCCCGGCGCGTTCTTCAAAGGGCTGTCGGCGTCCTGCTTTGGGATTTTGAGCTATGGGATTCAATTTCCTGTATACGAGTACCTCAAGCATCAAGTTGCAATCGACCCCGACACACAAAAGGTACTCACTGTACTTTCCTTCGTCCTTCCCCACCCATTCCATGTAGCCATCTGCGAGCGGAGTCGTCCTGGCCGCGATTGTGTCCAAGGCGATAGCTGCGTCCTTCTCGTACCCAGGGGATGTCGTTCGCACGCGCATGCAAGACCAAATGGGGAAGAGTACGTACAAGCACTTTCTCGACGCCATGGTGCAGATCGCACGGAAGGAAGGCGTGGGGTCTTTGTACGCTGGATTCCGCGTCAACATCTTCCGCATCCTGCCTCAATGCGCCACTACGTTCTTCGTCTACGAGCACGTCAAGGCTTCCATCGAACCGCCGCGGGACGACGAGCCGAGGCTGCCCTTCCGCCGCTTCTCCACCCAGAAACCCCTGCTGCAGTAATCACGATAATGCTCCAAATTCAAAAATGACTCTGTTCGCGGGCTCGTTGAAGTTGGAGGATGTTCGGATAATAGTATCCGGACAGGATACAGTTTCAGAGAAAGGGTGCTTGGTCCTTGCCAGGCTACCCAACAGCATGATGACCTACTACTGCATCGTGCATGCTGGTTTGTCCTGCACATGGTCATGGACGTCGTTATGACGAGGACTTTAGCGCCATTGGCAATGTTCATGTAGGATCGTGCAGCAGGCATGCATACAGTATTCATTTGCTTCATCCACTGCAGTGCGTGCATGACGTGATCATGTGCGTCATGTCGTTTGCGAGGACTTGCACTTCCATGTAGCTGCCACACCTCTGAGTAACGTAGCTGCGATCACATGTACGCAGTCTACAGGTAGAGCGTGTACACGCCATCTACCCGCGTGCAGAGCAAGGAGCGGAGTCACCACCACCATCCCAATACTCATGCCCACCGCCACCTTATAACTGTACCGCAGTACCCTTCAGCGGTACCTATCTTTCATGTATCGGATTCATCGTCTTAGCATTCCAACGATGCATAAGGCAGCGAGGCATCGTGTCGGCGGCGGTGCTGCCGCCGTTCTCTGACAATGCGCTGCACCTATTCATAGGGTGAGAGTGATTATGAGTGTGTTTGAGAGTGGAAGCGGGAGAAATATTAATTTCCGCAAGATTCGAAACCCACTTGGGATTTGTATACTCGGACTGAATTCTGCGCGGTTTTAAATAAAAAGGGCGCCGACCCACTAAGTCCACCCACCATTTTCGCTTTTGCTGGTCTGAAGGAATACCGTGATGGCGTCGGCCCTGGAACCCATCGACGTCGATGGCATCATCGAGAAGCTTCTCAGTGTGCGTGGGGCACGACCAGGGAAGCAAGTGAACCTGTCCGAGTCAGAGATCCGCGCGCTGTGTGTGCATTCGCGGGAGATCTTCCTCTCCCAACCGATCCTTGTCGAGCTCGAAGCGCCGATCAAGATTTGCGGCGACATCCACGGACAGTACTATGACTTACTTCGATTGTTTGAGTATGGCGGGTTCCCCCCCGACGCGAACTACCTCTTCCTCGGGTACGGCATGTCTGGCCTTATCTCATGCCACGTGACAGATGTTGACTTGTATGGATGTTGTTTCGTTCTGTAGAGATTATGTGGATCGCGGCAAGCAAAGCCTGGAAACGATCTGCTTGCTCCTTGCGTACAAGATCAAGTACCCGGAGAACTTTTTCATCCTGCGCGGGAACCACGAATGCGCGTCGATCAACCGCATCTACGGTTTTTACGACGAGTGCAAGCGTCGGTACAACATCAAGCTGTGGAAGACGTTCACTGATTGCTTCAACTGCCTTCCCGTGGCGGCGATCGTCGACGAGAAGATCTTCTGCATGCACGGTGGGTTGTCGCCGGAATTGAGTCAGATGGAACAGATCAAGCGGTTTGTGCGACCCACGGACGTGCCGGACACGGGTCTTCTGTGCGACTTACTGTGGAGCGACCCCGAAAAGGACATTTTGGGCTGGGGCGAGAATGACCGCGGCGTGTCGTTCACATTCGGCCCGGACATCGTCAGCCAGTTTCTCAAGCGACATGACCTCGATCTCATCTGCCGCGCCCATCAAGTCGTAGAGGATGGCTACGAGTTTTTTGCCAAGCGTCAACTCGTTACGTTGTTTAGCGCGCCCAACTACTGCGGCGAATTCGACAACGCCGGCGCGATGATGTCGGTCGACGAATCCCTCATGTGCTCGTTCCAGATCCTCAAGCCCGCCGAGAAGAAGCAGCGATTTGCATACCAAGGCATGCCCGGGAACGCCGCGGGAGGAGGTGCCGCGGCACCGCCGGCTGCCCAGCGACCGGCCACGCCCCCGCGAAAGTAGACGCCGACGGCAGAGATGAATGAGAGCAGGATAATGGATATGATATCTGATTTATGCTAGTGCATGTGCCTGCGAATTATGGGGCCAAAACAAAGCTGAAGAAATGGGGAATATTATAATACGTGTAAAAGTTGAGGTTTTGTTGAAATATATCTGTAAAATTTGATAGAAATATCCTGAAATATTCGCAAAAAAATAGAAATTGTTTCGTCGAAAAAGTAGGAGGTTCTATAGGATTAAGTGGGAGAAAGCAGGCGCGACAAGTCGAGGAGAATGGACTCCAGTCGAACGTCTGCTGCCGCGCAATCCCATGACGCGAGTGCGTCGCTGGACATGACGGTGTAGAACGCAAGTACCTACACCATGAACGATCAGCAGATGAAGAAGGCGGCAATGTTTCGGAATCGAACATGGTGGTCGGGAAGGCCATAGGACGAGAAGAGGTGGCGCTCGCCCTTGATGTGCACGACATGGTTGGGTCGTGGCTGCACCGTCGTGTCGTATTGGAGGAGGGTGCCCGCTAGACCTCACGATATTCGATGAGTTTTGAACATGAGAGTCAATGGTTGTATGGATGTACCGAACAGCGCCACGGATCGACGCAGGGTCGAGATGACGTTTGGCAACTCATCCGGCCGCAGGAGATGAACTGACGTCGAGTCTATCGACGCTTTTTGTGCTACGATCTCATCGCGACTGTCAATGAGGCAGACAAACACAGTGCCTACGAAACAAGTGATGTCATGTTCGCGAGGGATGTCACGTTCGCGAGGGATGTGCTGCACCTGGGTACACTGCGTCAATGCCATCGAAGTGTGCGTGCAGAACGCTCGTCCGTCGACTCTGCCTCCTACATCCAAGGCAGCATAGCATCACAGACACCGTGTCCATGCGCGGCTTGCTTCTGGCGCGATCAAAGTTGACGGCAAAAAGATCTCCCCAATGGCATCCGGATACTGTTGAACTTGAATTTTTCATACAGTTTTCCAGCCAATCAAATAAAGTTTCTCGTTACGTCCGCGACGATGATTGGTCGCATCAAACACGGTTCACCACCGCCGCCGACGCTGCTACCTGGGCTTCGACCCCATGCTTGTCAGCTCACTTACCATCCCCACAGCGCCAGACATCGTGCCGTGGCAGCTCCATTCATCGGGAAACGCTTGAATTGGACCAGCCACTGCTTCCGTCGCCGCCACCGCGCCGCGGCGTGACGTTCACAACATAGACCACGTACAGCGATCAATTAATGAGCTCTCATTCCACGTGGCACACGGAGGCAGCGCCATGCCGAATAGGTCAGGGCCTCCCATCGGACTCGCCAAGTCGCACTTCCATGTCGCGTGTTCCGCCATTCGTCCTGACCGCCGACGTCATCGCCGTGCCGTGCACAGGTTCGATCCCTCGGAACGCGCCGCACTTCTCAACGCCGCCTCGTATCAGGAGTCTGAGATTGCCGCATTTTGCATTCGTTGTGCGAAAGTCGCGCCAAGATGACGCGATGGACTTCCTGGAAGAGCGTACGCGGCAGAAGAAGCGCCGAGCCGTGCGCATGCTTGTCAAGATCAGTTGGCGAGGTCAGCGACCACGGAAGTACCGACGACATGGGTAGTACCTCCAAACGACAATGTGTGGCTGCAGAAGGTTGCTAGTGCTGCCACGCCAGACTGGCTTTTCACGATTTGATTTACATTTAATACTAGTACTACACAATGCTGTTTTCGTTTGATTATCCTTCGTAGCTTGGCCACTCTGTCACAGTGGTCCCTTATTGCTTCTGCAGTACATACAGGCTTCTTTGTCACAAATTCATATCTATTGCTACTACTAATTCACAACCTCATGAAGCCAACCTCAACCTCTCCCGTTCTCCGTCGTTTGCAAACTCGAAATCCACTCCGGTGTTCACCATACCCACGAGTCGTTGAAGTCGAACTGGCGAAGTGAATACGGTTGGTTCGACCCGTACAACAAGACGAACCAGCTGCCCAGCGACACGGGTGGCCACGGCACTCACGTCATGGGCATCATGGTGGGAACGAAAGGTATTGGTGTCGCTCCCAAAGCCAAGTTGATTGCGTGCAAAGGGTGCGAGGATGGGTGCAATCAGCGTAAGGTGGTGGAATGCGGTCAATTCCTGCTTTGTCCCCACAACAACGACGGCAACAAATGCGACCCCAGCAAGGCCCCTCATGTGATCAACTTGAGCCTTGGACTGTACAGCGCGAACTTATATTTGGATGAGTTGATTAAAAAGTGGAGAGCAGCGGGAATCATTCCCGTGTTGTCGAACGGCAACGACGGCCGTAAAGGCTGTTGGCATTCAGGTTATCCTGGCATATCCCCTCAAGTGATTTCTGTCGGCAACACTGACGCTAACGATTTTTTGTCGTTCGATTCAAGTTTGGGACCTTCCTTCGTGAACGATAAACTCGTCAAACCCGACATTTCTGCTCCTGGTAAGCGCATCCGTTCCGTAGTACACTCCAGTAACGATGGTATTACGTGGAAAACTGGCTCGAGCATGGCCACGCCTCATGTTTCTGGAGCCATCGCCTTGCACTTGTCTGCCAACAAAGGCGCCTCGTACGAACAAGTGTACAGGGCCCTGACCGAGAGTGTGGACACGGACACGTTAACTCCACCCAACAAGACCTGCAGTGGCATTCCCAACACGCAGTATCCCAACAACCTCTTTGGCCACGGCCGCTTGAACATCTTCAACGCCGTGGCTGCTAGCATCCGCGGCCTGACTCTTGCCCCGCCATCCGAGTCCACCCAAGTCCTGAACCCGACCGATGACCTAAGCACGTGTGGCACCTTGGAAGACAACACGCACTATGTTGGCGGCGACTTGGCTTCGGTCAATCTGGCGACTGCTGAATCCTGCTGCGCTGAATGTAAAAAGACACCGGGATGCAAAGTGTTTGTGTGGTACAGCCTCAACGGTGGCTTGTGCCGGCTCAAAGACACCCAAGGCCGAAAGGTGGCTGTGGACGGAGCTAAGGCGAGCGTGCTACCAGCCCCAGCCTCGGGATGACGGCCGTAGTTTTAGACCATCTATTATCATCGTCAACAACTCATAAAAAATAATAGTTTGAAATTAACCAGAAAAAGCAAGGTGAAATACGCAAGGTGAACCACCTTGCGAATTCCATAAATAATTCTGAAATTGTATAGTTTCAATTAAATATAGCTTCAAGTTTGTATTGATGATTTTTATTTTTCATGAGTCTGTCTCTTTTTGGAATTCGCAAGGCAGGTCACCTTGCGAATTCAAAATTGTCCAATTTTGTCCAATCAGATGCGGTGAAATCACGAAAATCGCTGCTGCTGCGATATATTCCTGTGATGGCGGTTGATGCAAGGAGCCTTGATATAATTGTAGGCTGTGTATGAGAGCAAGATCATGTGATGTGGTATTCAGGACTCAGTCAATTCTAACAGGTCTCATTTCACCACTTGCCTACTAA